GTGAAAGTGCTGTACTCAATATGAAGGCAAATTTGGAAAACTCAGCAGTGGCCACAGGACTGGAGAAAGTCAGTTTTCATTCCAGTCCCAAAGAAAGGCAGTGCCAAAGGATTCTCAAACTACCACACAATTGCACTCATCTCACATGCTAGTAAAGTAATGCTCAAAATTCTCCAAGCCAGGCTTCAACAATACATGAACCGTGAACTTCCAGATATTCAAGCTGGTTTTAGAAAAGGCAGAGGAACCAGAGATCAAATTGCCAACATCCACTGGATCATCAAAACAGCGAGAGAATTCCAGACAAACATCTATTTCTGCTTTATTGACTATGCCAAAGCCTTTGACTGTGTGGATCACAATAAACTGTGGAAAATTCTTCAAGAGATGGGAATATCAGACCACCTGACCTGCCTCTTGAGAAATCTGTATGTAGGTCAGGAAGCAACAGTTAGAACTGGATGTAGAACAACAGACTGGTTCCAAATAGGAAAAGGAGTACGTCAAGGCTGTATATTGTCACCGTGCTTATTTAACTTATATGCAGAGTACATCATGAGAAACGCTGGGCTGGATGAAGCACAAGCTGGAATCAAGATTGCCTGGAGAAATATCCTCACATATGCATATGACACCACTGTTAGGGCAGAAAGTGAAGAGGAACTAAAGAGCCTCTTGATGAAAGTGAAAGAGGAGAGTGAAAAAGATGACTTAAAGCTCAACATTCAGAAAACAAAGATCATGGCATCTGGTCCCATCACTTCATGGCAAATAGATGGGGAAACAGTGGCAGACTTAGTTTTTTGGGCTCCAGAATCACTGCAGATGATGACTGCAGTCATGAAATTAAAAGTAACTTACTCCTTGGAAGAAAAGTTATGACCAAACTAGACAGCATATTAAAAAGCAGAGACATTACTTTGCCAACAAAGGTCCATCTCGTCAGAGCTATGGTTTTTACAGTAGTCATGTGTGGATGTGAGAGGATAGTATAGTATAGATGGACTGTAAAGAACGCTGAGTGCCAAAGAATTGATGCTTTTGAACTGTGGTGTTGGGGAAGACTCTTGAGAGTTCCTTGGATTGCAAGGAGATCCAACCAGTCCATCATAAAGGAAACCAATCCTGAATATTCATTGGAAGGACTGATGTTGAAGCTGAAACTCAAACCCTTTGGCCACCTGATGTGAAGAACTGACTCATTTGAAAAGACCCTGATGCTGGGAAAGATTGAAGGCAGAAGGAAAAGGGTACAACAGAGGATGAGATGATTGGATGGCATCACCAACTCAATGGACATGAGTTTGAGTAAACTCTGGGAGTTGGTGCTGGACAGGGAGGCCTGGTGTGCTGCAGTGCATGGGATCGCAAAGAGTTGGACACGACTGAGCGGCTGAACTGAACTGCACTGAGAAGGCAGTGAGATAACATATTTAAAGTGTTGAAAGAAAAAAATGGCCACCTTGAAATTCTAAATCCAATCAAACTGTCTTCAAGAATGAAGGAGATATTAAGGCATTCCCAGATAAACAGTAGCTGAGGGAGTTCATTACTATATGGTTTATACCATCTATACAAGAAATGCTGAAGGGAGTCTTTCGGGCTTACTATAGACCTGTTGAGTTTACTTTCTGCAGTAGGATAGAAAAATACACATTTAAAAAATCAACCCCCTGCAGATTCTTATACACAGAAAACAGAAAGAGAAACCTCTAGGTGATAAGAGTTGTTTTCTGTCTTGAACACTGGTAAAAACTATTTTTTAAAAAAGCCCTATCATCAAGTGTTCGCCAGGATTTGATACAGTGGAAACCCTTCAACACTCATGGTGGATGTATAAATTGGTTCAACCACTTTGGAAAACAATTTGGCATTAATATAGACCATATATAAAGTTGTATAGACCACTAACAGAAACTCCCTGTCTTTATAGCAGAAAACATATATAAGAATGTTCACACTGGCTGTTTGTAATGGCAAAAAACTGGGAACAGTATGTCCTTATGTTTATTGAGGGAAGAAAAGATTTTAAAAAGTGTGGCATAAAGTGTGTGTGAAAATAAATGCGTCAACATGTGGAGACAGAAAAGCAAGTGCTTTCATTAGGCACTTTCATATTAATTCATAAGGCACATTTTATTTATGGATATGTATATTTGTGGTAAAACTATTTAAGGAATGGAAAAGAAAAAATTGAGGGTAGTGGTTATCCCTGGAGGTTGGAGGAGGGAGGGACAAAGGGTTTCAGTGGTTTTGGTCATATGAGCTAAGAGATGGTTACATGACCATATGTTTTCTTTTTTAAAAATTTTAATTTATTTATTTTTACTTTTTTTGCACTGGGCCTTCATTGCTGTGTGCAGGCTTTCTCTAGTTGACGGAGAACTGGGTCTACTCCTTGCTGCAGTGCACAGGCTTCTCATTGTGTTGGCTTCTCTTGTGGAGCACAGGCTCTAGGGCGTGTGGGCCTCGGTGGTTGTGGCGCACGGAACTTGTTGGTTCACAGCATGTGGGATCTTCTCAGACCAGGGATGGAACCCATGTTTCCTGCATTGGCAGGTCGATTCTTATCGCCACCAGGGAAGTCCTGTTTTATTTTCTTATACCTCATTTATTGTGTCATTTTACATGTGTCAAATGCTATATATTATAATAAGAAATGTTAAAGACTATATAAAACATAAAACATCCATACTGTGCTGTTGTTGAAAAGAATGATATGCCTTTGTGTGTTCTGAGTTATTCATTGGAAGCCTTTTTTTCCTTTCATGGCATTGTTTTCTTTGGAAGGAGGGAGAGTGTTGCTCTTTCCACTTGAAAATGAAATCTTTTAGGGCACAAGTTCTTATTTGTTTTTTGACATCTTGTTAACCGCTCTATTCTAATCATTCCCAGAAAGTGATTGGGATATAGTACATGCTCAGTAAGTATTTGTTGAATAAATGTGTGTGTATGTTTATAAAACCTGGTGAATGTATGTACACATATATATTTAAAGATCTGGAATTCTAAAGCTTTACCAGTGAGAATAGGGGAGTGTCGCCATTGCTGTGCTGGCCCACCGTGAATGTGCATGCTGTCAGATGTCACAGACTGGGTGTTCCACTGCTCCATTTAACCCCCTCCTCAGCTCCCCCCCCCCATCATTTGGGGCAAGGGCTTTAGGCCATAATTTTAAAAGGACCTGAATCCAAAGAAAGACACAGTCACAGCCTTTTATTGATTGAAAGGCTGGAAAGTGACTTAAATTTGTCATACCATTTTTTTGCACTGTATTTTAATGTTTTGAAGTTTTATTTGCTTTCGTTTCATTTGGGTTTGTTTAGTTTTTGCAGTTGTTAATATAGGACCTATTTTGGGGGATGATTTCTCAGAGGTAAAATAAGTCTTTTCATAAACTAAGGTAAACTTTTCATAAACTAAAAGTCTCTTAATATTTCTTTTCTAGTCATTGTGTGTATTCATCAGATAGTTCTGTCTCTATGTTCTGTCAGTTTCTATTAGTGGAATGGCGCCTGTGTTCTAGAACTATAACAAACAACAACAACGAAGTCATAAAATATAAAAAGGAAAACAAAAGATAAAAATTTAACAATTCCCTCTCAAGAAAAAAACAAAAACTGGAATTCTGCATACCAAATTAACCTCTAAGTAGTTCTTTGGAATTAGGGGTAGGGTTTGGTCACAGATGAGAGAATGGAAGCTATATTGTACTTTGTATTTTATATTCTGCACTTGCATTTTTATAATTTATATTTATTGCATATTTTTAACTAAAAAGGGAGAAAGCATCTTTGAAAATAAAGCAGAAATTATAAATTGGAAAAATTAGCAAAAAATGTTATCAACAAACCTAAACAAACCCCTTAACTTCAAGAATTGATCTGACAAATTATTGGAAGGTAGATTGAGACTAGAAATGGTCCTGGAATCAGCTTAGCTTAATGTGCAACTGAGCTGCTAACCCTTCTCTGAATATTTCTAAAGGAGGCTGTTGCTAGTATGGGTCTCTGGAAGAAAGATCAGTCTGGGGTGGAGGAGCTGTGAGGATTTTAGGATCTAAGGTCATGTACTGAGTAGTTTAATATTTTAGTAACTTACTAAAATACAATAAATAATTAGGTTCTTTTTATTTTATTTAAAACTTCAAAACAACATGAAAAGACCAGGATGTGACCAGAGTTATGTACTTGGTTGGATGGAGTGCAGTAAGTTGTGTTCTGTGGAGCTCTTGAAATATCTGATGCCCAAATAAATAAAATTTAAATTATTTTAGAGGTGACTTGGATTTTTCCCTCTTACTCTTTGTTTAGTGATTCCTTGGCAAAACCCAACAAACCCCTTCCCCCTTGCCCCTAGACATGCCTATCCCATGCCAATGCACTTTTAGTAAAAAGTGTGTACAGTAGAATGGCCTTATCAGACCTTCTTGCACTGCTTTGGCACAGCTTTGACACAGATTTCTCATGCACCTTCTATAAGTTAAGTATTTTGTAGACATCTGTCTTCACTTTGTAGTGTTGATGCTTTTTTTTTCCCACAAGGTATACATCCATTTTATTTAATCTTAGGTTATTCTATGGTAGAAATGTGGGTGTCGTTGTTACAATACACAAGGTTATAATGTTGATCTAGATGATTGATTGTACTTAGGACAGAAGTTCATGGTCAACCTTTGGTTCATGTTTTTTATTTTAGTGTGGGAAACTGGTCAGAGCCATGTGGCTGTGAGCTCAGTGTTAAGGTCTGGCCGTTGACTTCTTTCTACAGGAAGGGAGTTATTTCTTGGTGTGCAGAATGTCCCCCTGTGCATACACTTGAAAGACTTCTCTTTTTTCCTCCATGAAATTGGGAATCATGCATTTTTAAAATTTGGAACTGCTGAATTTTGAAGTCTTAAAAATTAATCCTATCTTTTTTCAATATTTTTTTTCATTCTGTTTCCTTTGTCACCTTTTCTTGAAACAAGTAACATGTCGTTTATTTTTGGTTTTTACTAGTTCTGGGACCGTTTGGACCCCACGATGTTTTTCCAAGATTTTAGACCCTTTCTAAGTAGCAGTCTACTGGACCAAGATAACAGAGCCAATGAGAGGAGTCACCAAACTCACTCTGACTTCTGGGGTCCAAGTCGGCCTCCACGGCTGTCAATGACTCAGAGATACAGATCTCGAGGAAGTACTCGTCCTGAGAGATCCCCAGCTTTTGAAAGGTGAGTACTCAGTTGTTATTTTAAATTCTTTTTAAGGGTAGTTTCAGTGAAGGACATATTGACATAATCTAATTGATATAATAAGATTTTCATACTTACTATCTTTGTGGACAAGATGAGAATATATATGCAGAATGAAAATGAAGCCAAATTGAATGTCTATACTCAACTAGTACCAGTTTACCAATGATGATAAACTGAAAGATGATAAAACTGATGACATAGGTCTCTAGTTAACATTTTTATTAATATTTCAGATAAATACATAGGTGATATGTTTATCAAAGTTTCAGAAGATACTGAAAGAGATAGCGGATATATTGGATAACATTAGGATTCAAAAAGACCTCAATAAATTGGAGTGATGGAGTTAATATGAAATTTAATAGAAAGATAGAATCTTGTGATTGCAAAACATTCACTCAACGAATACTTATTGAGTGTCTTTTATGTTGGGACACTTTACTGGATACTGGGGATTATGATGGTGAGCAAAACAGATAGTGGTCCTTGATCTCATGGATGCCATTTAGTAGGAATGATAAACACTAAATTTTTAAGTGTTTGCCATATGCATAGCATTGTGCTTTGTGCTTTTTCTACTTATCTCATTTAATCCATGTAAAATGGTAGGTGGTGTTGCTGTTCTCATTTTGTAATTGTTCAATGGCTAAATCATGTTTGACTCTTTGCAACTGCATGAACTATAGCATGCCAGTCTTCTCTGTGCTTCTCCTGGAGTTTGCTCAAACTCAGGTCCATTGAGTCTGTAATGACATTCAACCATCTCATTCTGTGTCACCCCCTTCTCCTGCCCTCAGTCTTTCCCAGCATCAGGATCTTTCCCAGAGTCGGCTCTTCGTATCAGGTGGCCATGTGTTGGAGCTTCAACTTCAGCATGAGTCCTTGCAATGAATATTCTTGGTTGATTTCCTTTAGGATTGACCAGTTTGATCTCCTTGCTGTCCAAGGGACTCTCAAGAGTGTTCTCCAACACCACAGTTCAAAAGCATTGATTCTTTGGCACTCAGCCTTCTTTATGGTTCAGCTCTCACATCCATACATGATTACTGGAAAAACAATAGCTTTGACTATACAGACCTTTGTCACCTAAGTGATGTCTTTGCTTTTTAATATGCTGTCTAAGTTTGTCATAACTTTTCTTCCAGGGAGTGTCTTTTAATTTCTTGGCTGCAGTCACCGTCCACAGTGATTTTGGAGCCCAAGAAAATAAAATCTGTCACTGTTCACTGTTTCCACTTTTCCCCCATCTATTTGCCATGAAGTGATGGGACCAGACGCCATGATTTTAGTTTTTTGAATGTTGAGTTTTAAGCCAGTTTTTTTTAAGCCATCTGTCCTCTTTCACCTTCATCAAGAGGCTCTTTAGTTCCTCTTCATTTTCTGCCATTAAGGTGGTATCATCTGCATATCTGAGTTTGTTGATATTTCTCCCAGCAATCTTGATTCCAGCTTGTGATTCATCCAGCCCAGCATTTCACATAATGTACTCTCCATATAAGTTAAAAAAGCCTGATGACAGTACACAGCCTGATGTACTCCTTTCCCAATTTTTGAACTAATCTGTTGTTCCGTGTCTGGTTCTAACTGTTACTTCTTGACCTGCATGCAGGTTTCTCAGGAAACATGTAAGATGGTCTGGTATTCCAGTCTCTAAGAATTTTCCAGTTTGTTGTGATCCATGCAGTCAAAGGCTTTTGCATAGTCAGTGAAGCAGAAAGTAAATGTTTTTCTGAAATTTTCTTGCTGGAGTATAAAATTCTAAGAGAGAAATAGCTGGGTCAAAGGATATGACCATTTGAAAATTGATACTGTCCAGTTGCTCTTCTGAAAGACTATAGCATTATATTCTTACCAACAGTATTTGAAATATACAGAATATCCTTATCAAACTGTTATCAGTCTTTATCTTTCATGATCTGATAGACAAAAATATGCTAGTAATATGCTAAATATTACTTTCTATGTCTTTTTAATTTTTTCATTTGATTAAGCTTATTTTCATATAATTATTAGGTACTTATATTTTTTCTTTTATGAATTGTTTATTAATATTCTTTGCTTGGTTTTCTTATTATGGAATTAAAAAATTGTTTTATAGGAGTTCTCTCTATGTAGCAAAGATCTTAATCTTTTATATATATATTTTTTTTTACTTTTTCAAGTGATTTTTTTATTTTTTTATATATTGTTTACATATTACATATTCTAGATTTCATACCATACTTAGAAAGTCTCTCTCCTTATTTCATGATTTTAAAGTATTCCCAAAAAATAAAAAATAAAAAAATAAGATATTCCCATATTTTCTCCCCGTATTTTCTTATCTAGTGCTTTTTGGTTATAATGGTCAGAACTCTTGTTATAAGCAATAGAAATTCAATTTAATATAACTTGAGAAAATTAGAATGTGTTGGTTCATATAACTCAAGTGGTTTTTGGCCGTATCAGACCCAACATCTCTCCTTTTTTAGCAAATATGATATCATTTCTTATTATCCTGATTTAGAATTTGTTCATAATGTAACCTATAAAATATATTAAAACATTTATGCCTATATTATTATTCTCCAACTAATATAAAAGAGAACTAAAAGTAATACATAAAAAATATGTTTTTAAATTTATAAATACTTGGCTGTGACTGATTTGGGAGGCTGTGAAATACCAGATGCCTGCTTCTGTGTGGAGAATCACTAAGAAAGTGATAGTGCCTTTCTGTCTGGCAGCAGCCGTTAGGTAAGCCAAGATGGGTACTTGTATTGATACAAGTATTAATACATCCAGAAGCTATAGAGGAAGAATCAGTAGATGTAATGCACTTTCTTTTCAGGGTACAGTATTGCCAGCTCTCAGAGCTCTGTGAGACTGCCTGCCCCACTTGGCTTGATAAAGTGCATAGACTGGGATACAAGGCCAAGTGAGATTATGTTGTATATTGGATTTGTGTGTATTTTAGTGGCTGTAAATGCACATTTCCTAAGGATGCATCCTATGGCAGGCCTGTCCATCAGGATGTTAAGCAGTGAAAATTTGCTGAAAGCCTTCAGTCTATTGCCGAGGAGAAAGCTAGATGCCATTGTGGGGCTGAGAGTCACCACATGCAAAAGAATGAAACTGTCTTATACCATCCACAGACATTAACTCAAGATAGATTAAAGACTTGTACATAGGACCTGAAACCATAAAATCCATATGAGGTAACATAGGCAGTAAGCTCCTTGACATTGATCTTGGTGATGATTTTTTGGATCTGACTCCAAAAGCAAAAATGAACAGTGGAACTGCATCAAAGGATAAAAAGCTTCTGCTCAGCAAAGGAAATCATCTACAAGATGAAAGGCAAGTAGCCTAACAATCTGTTTAAAAGATGGGCAGAAGACCTGAATAGACATTTTTCCAAAGAAGACATACAAATGGCCAGAAAGGACATGAAAGGATGCCATGCATCACTAATCATCAGAGGAATACAGATCAAAACCACAATGAAATATCACCTTATACCTGTTAGAATGGCTGTTATCAAAAAGACAAGAAATAAGTATTGATGAGGTTGCGGAGAAAAGGGAGCAAACCCCTTTACACTGTTGGTAGGAATGTAAATTGGTGTAGCCACTGTGGGAAACAATATGGAGGTTTCTCAAAAAAATTAAAAATAGGAGGACTACTTTATGATCCAGCAGTTCCATTCCTGGGTATTTATCTGAAGAAAACAAAAGCACAAATATGAAAAGATACATGGCATCCCATGTTTGTTGCAGCATTGTTTTCCATAGCCAAGACATGGAAACAACCTAAGGAGCCATTGATGGATGAATAGATTAAAAAAAATTGTGATATACATATATATATGTGCGTGTATGTTATTCAGCCATGAAAAAGGATGAAATTTTGCCATTTGCAACAACATGGATGGACCTTACAGGCATTATGCTGCATGAAATAAATCAAAGAAAGACAAATACTGTATGATCTTATAGGTGGAATCTTAAAAAATAAATTTCATTAGCCAGGTTCATAGATACAGAGAACAGATTGGTGGTTGCCAGAGGGATTTTAGGGTGGTAGGTGGGTGAAATGGGTGAAGGGTGTCAAAAAGGACAGATTTTCAGTTATATTATAAATTAAGTCATGGGAATATAATGTACAGTGTGGCTGCTATAGTTAATAATGTTATTGCATATTTGAAAATTGCTAAGAGAGCAGGTCTTAAAAGTTCTCATGTTAAAAAAATTTTAAACTATATGGTGACGAATATTAACTGGACTTATGTGATAATCATTTCACAAATACATACAAATATCAGATTTAAAAAGCTCTTTAATTTGTTAAAACATTTTATGCAGATTGCTTCGTGAATGCATTGGGAAATTATGAGAATTAAAGTGCAATAATATTAGAAGACTCTTAAGTGATAGTGTGTTTAATAAGATAAATAGTTTTATCTTTTACACCCCTTTATTTATTTATTTTAAAATACATTTTCATGGAAATAGTTCTAAGGAGTAGGCCAGGAAACGGGGCCTGGGGGCAACATTAACATCATCCATACAGTATTTAACATGAATCAAAGCCTTACTGACAGCTTAATCCTGAAACTCTATAGAATTAAAAATCATGTGGAAGCTGCTCATCCCTGGCTTTATAAACACTTTCATCTTTACTTTATCTTATTAGGGAGTTATATGTCAGTGTTTAAAATGCTGTGTGGTATGAGAGGTGTGAGATAAAATCTTCAAAAGAGGGGTGTAGAAACCACCCCTGTAGATTTGTTGGTGCGTATGATGAAACCTACAGCTTTACTGAGGTGATGCAGTGCTCTGCTGGTTTATTTTTAAGTAACTGTTTTAGTTTGGCAAGGACAAACTTTCAAATTATATTTTGATTAGAAATGTGTAGAGTGGGAAGAGGGATTTCCTAACCTTTTGCCATGATTATATGTAGAAAAATAATGAAAGTTGACCAGTGCCCCTATTTTT